ACTTGCTCCTCGACAGATTGCGCTTTCGTCCCTTCAGCTACTATTTTCTGCTCAACCAGCGTCGAGATCTCATTCTCGGCGGCAACTCGTGTATTTTCAACTATCGCTTTCTCCTCTACGACTGGCGTGTAATCCACTACAGTCTCAATAGGAGTTTCTTCAGCAGGCGATAATGTATGCTCAATCACAGTTGTGGTCTCTACAAAGCTTTCTGTTTTGCGTGCTTCTTTCGTTGCTGTTTCATTCACAACAACTGGCTCTGGTATCGCGACAGGTGTTTCTTCAACCACCTTGTTGGTTTCAGTAGGTTCCACTACTGGCTCTAGTATTGCAAAAGGTGTTTCTTCAACCAATTTAATTGTTTGCGTCGTAGGCTCAACTGGCCCGTCTTTAGGCTCTTTTTGACCCTTGGTCTTTTTCTTATCTTTCTTCGATGGCTTCTCCGTTTTCTCCCTTTCCGTATTTATAAATTGCGCTATGCTTGATTTCAAACTAGTATCGGGTTCTGTTGGCGCTTGCGTTGTAAACTCCCCAGTCACAGGTTTTTCTACAATCACGGTTGTAGTTTCGGTAGTTTGAGAAATGGTAGATTCTGGCAATTGCATGGGTTTCTCTTCAGCAGCAGTGTCTGCTGGAATTGGTGTTTCCTTAGGACTCTTTGACTTCTTTTTATCTTTCTTGCTTTTGCTTTCTGCTTTGGTTTCTTCAACTACGTTCGCGACGGCAACCTGCTCGATTGGGAAGTGTTCCGTTTGTTTTGCTTCGACTACAGGCACGTGCTCGGGTGTAGACTCTGAAGTCGTAACCACTTCTTCTTCTACGAGTGCTACAGTTTCTTTCGCGCCTTTAGTTTTCTTCTTATCTTTCTTAGACGGTTTTTGCAGTTTTTCCTTGCTCTCCACTATTTCGGCGCTGGCTGTAGTTTCTGAAACAATTTCAGGTTTTTCGGCAACCGCGCTGATTAGCACATTTGATTTTTCGCCGGCAGGCTCATCATCAACGATATCTTCCTCAATCGCAACTTCTTGGCCATTAATGATTCTGGTAATAATGCGCTTTGTCGTGTGCTTGGTTGTTGTTGTTGTTGTCACAGTAGTGGTAGTACAACCATTCGCCGTTATGACATGCGTAGACTCGGCGCTTACTGGCGCTGCCACGTTTGCGCTAATCGCGTCTACTACCGTAGTAGTTTCAACTGGTGAGGGTTTGCGTTGGACTTTCGATTTCTCCTTCCTTGCGGGTTTGGCTGGTATATCTTTTAGACTTTCGTTTGCTATGAAGTCAACTGTACTCGACTTTACAGTGTCGACTTTTACACTGGAAGGAACGATATTTGCGTTAGGAACTAAATTTTCTGCAGGAGTTGCAGGCTTCTCAGCAGAAACAGGAACTTTTTCAGCGACGGGGCTACTCGGTTTTACGGTTTCTTTTACAATAACCGTTTCTGATTTTTCTTTCTTCTCTGCAGGTTCTTCAACTTCACCTGAATGCTTGTGTTTCTTTTGTCTTTTTGGTTTTGCTGGTTTCTTTTCGGACTCTTGCTCAAGCGCAGCGCTGGTTGTTGTTTTAATTTGCTGACTAGTTGTGTCTGTCCTTCCCACAATAACTGCACTTTCGACAGCCGTTGTGGTCTCTCCATGAATTTCAGGCACAACTGCAGCTAATTTCACTTTCTTTCCCTCGCTTTTTGTGTGCTTTGTGTCCTTTTGAGATTTGCTGGTGGTCGCAGTTGTTGTGGACTCCGCCACGGTTTTAACATGTTTATCGTGTTTTTCTTGCTTTTCATGCTTCTGTCGCGTCTCCACCTCGCGTATGGCTGGTGGAGATCCGTTGTGTTGTCGCTGTTTCGAATCAGTCCGTTGACCTCTTGTAGGCCGTTGCTCTTTACGTGGCTGCGGCACTGGTGCTGCAGCGACGTTGGCTGTTGCGTCTTCTCTTCTCTGAACTGCTGCAGCATTCCGAGAAGGAGACTTCCATGGTCGGCGATTATTGTATTCATTATTATTCGATGTCGTCGTAGTCGCATAGGTCGTTGCTGTCGTCGTTGCAGTTTTGGTTGTCAATCTTTGCTGTTGTAATCTATTTGTATTTGTATCATATTTGGTTGTTGTAATGCGGATTTGCGTTTGCTGTGGCTGTGGCTGTTGACTGGATGGCTGGAAAACATTACTTCCACCTTGATGGATACCAAATAGTACTTCAGCATAAGTCGTGCCATGTGTGGGCTCTTTTGTGGGTATTTTCGGTTGTCTCCTAAACTCTGTAGGACTCTGTGAAACTTGGACTGCTTGCGCCATATCTTGCACTTCTTGTGCTGGCACAGTTTCCATGGGTTGCAAGGGCGCAGTGTAGGGAGCTGGAGGCTCTGAGACCGGCGCAACTTCTGGTTGTGGTATCTGTTGCGCTGGTAGACTCTCAACGATTTCCGCGGGTATCGTTTCAATTTCATTCACTTCGAATTGTCCGAATGTTATATCGGGGCGCGGTTCGTCCTCCTCAATCGATTGTGGTTCATACAACTGCGTGTGCGTTACTTGGTCATATTGCTGCGCATGTTGAGGCACTTCGAAGGGTTGCAACTGTGCTGGTTGCTCAAACTGCTGGGGAGACGGCGATGGCTCATAAAGCTGTGCCTCAAATTGCTCTCCAGACTCTTGCACATATTGTTGTTGTGCGTTAACATGCGTCTGCGTGGTAGTGACATTTTGCACAATAGATGCGAGCGTAGTGACTACTTGGTCAATCACGCTCTGATCAGCTTGCGTCTGCTGATAATCGCTTAAGTATTCTTGTGGCTGTGTATCGTAGGCCAAACTTTGCAGCTCTTGATAGGGTTGCGCCTGTGGCTGATAGTATAATTGAGTTTGGTCATTGGGTGTGGCATACACCGTTTGATATGCGTCAGGCTGTTGCGGCGCTGTGGGGTAGTAGCCGGTCATAAGTTGATATTGCGTAGCTGTCGGTTGGTACTGATACTGAGTGTAGGTCGTTTGACCGGTCGTCGTACCTTGTGGATATTGCATTTGTATAGTCTGTTCATAGTAATTCTGTGAGGCTGCCGACTGCTTCTCGGTGGTCTGCGCGACTTGTTGTGCCGCAGGCACTGCTGCATATCCCCACTGACCAGCATCAGCCATATTCTCATACATACTCTGGTAGAGTTGTGGATCGGGCTGCAGGTAGGTTTCCTGTATTTCGGCGGCTGTCATTGGCACATTAATGCCCGTTGCAGTCGTTTCGACGTAACTGCTAGGAACACCAGTGGCTGTATCAACGTAAGTGCTTGGCACCACCGATATTGTATCTACAAATGTGCGCGGGACTGTTGCGCTATCGATGTATGTGTTTTGCGGCATTGTCGATTCCACAAATGTTTGCGCGTAAGACGAAGCGGCATCTGGCGTGGAAGATTCAACAATATTTACATCCTCTATGCTGACTCTAGTGCGTGTGCTCTGCACATCCATCGGCAAATCTACCAACTTAAATTCTACAAAATTTAATTTTTTATCTTCGTGCGCTTGTGTTTCTTGCCGCAAATCCGTTGACACAGGCGCCTGCGCCGGCTTAACGTAATCATTTGTTTCTGTTGTCGTGAGCGTAGTAACAACAGTAGGCTTATCGCTTTGCGCATTCTGCGTCCTTCGTTCATCCTGCACGCGTTGGCGTTCCAACTCAATGCCGCGCAATACTTCCGCATAAGAAGTAGAGCCGGGCGCCCAAATGGGGCTGCTTGAACGCATGCGATCTTGTTCGGCGGGCGCAAGTAGATGCGTCTGTTGATGCTGCTGACGTGTTTGCGCGTGAGTTCGCGCTACCGTAGACGTGGTCGCTGTGCTGGTATTAGAGGCATGCGTACGCGCCATGCGCGTTTCACGTGCCGTGTGCTGCGTCGATTGCTGTGACGCTGCTGCGTAATGTTGCGCACTCTCGTTTTGTTGTTGCTGTTGCTGTTGCTGACGACGTCGAGGCGAACGTCCACGGCGCGGTTCGCGCGGCACCTGCAATTGCTGTTGACGCGCTGCTGGCTGTGGCGCTTCCGGCTGATAAGCGGCTTCTTGTTGCTGATGCTCTTCATGCCATACACCTACCGTCATTTCGGGTTGTTCATGCTGCTGCGATTCTTGTGCGCTATGCGTCAGATGTTGAGTGGTCGTTCGTGTGGTCACAGTGCGCTTTTCATTGACGCGCTCACCACGGTCATTAACATATTCGCTTTGCACTTCTGGCGGCGATGTCGACGAGTGCACTACCCACTCATTTGTAACGCTTTGCGGCTCTTCCACTTGCAATTCTTGCGTGGGACTCGTGGTGGTGGTAAGCGTGGTTTCATATTGTTGAGGTTCAAATTCTTGTACACTTTGTGGCTCATGGCTTACAGCCACTGGCCTGGCTACATTTTTGTTGTTATTGGTTGTTGTGGTTATGGTAGTGGTGGTCTCAAGTTTGGCATTTTGTACCTTACTTTTATGTAAAATATTTTCCGTTTGTGCAAAACTCACGGGACTCGAATGTCCGGAGAGCACTTCCGCATAGGATAGGCCTAATTTGGATGGCTTCAATAGCATGGACACGGCCGATGATGTGGTAACAACGGAATGCGGATCCAGCGTGTATGATAAGGCTGCGATCACATCGTATTTCTGTTGCATGTCATCGATAGATGTACGCAGAGTCTAGCATTGGTTTTAATAAAAAAAAGTAAAGGGCGAGATTTGCCAAATATGTTAGAGGTTTGGTTTCGCAAACAAACAAAGAAATATGTACATAGATATTGTGCATATGTAAATGTATGTAAGAGCCCTCAAAATACGATAAAAACTTTCTAGATTAATGTTGAACTAGCTGAGCTTGGAATGAATATACATAAGTACTATACACTGCGCTAGTAAACTCTAGCCTAAACGCCTAAAATGCTGCTAAGAAAGTGAGTTCAAAATGCTGCTGGGTTTCGAAATAACTACGCATGTTTTTTATCTTATACATTTTTATAATATATTTTATTTAAAAATCGCTTTGTTTTTTTTGGGGTCATGTCAGAGTTTTTTAATATTTTTATAAGTAATTTTTTTTTTTGCCTTATAAATAATGGCTGTTTACAATAACGCTATGGGGGAAATGTGTTGAACAAATTAAAACTTTTTAAGTTTTTCTTACGCAAGCGCCAGCAAATTTACAGCCTTATTCCGACAGCTACTGACAAAACTGTTCACATGACAATTGTCTGAGCGCCACAGCGTCTAAAAATATGCCGCAAAATCTTGATTTTGAGCGCTCTAACAAATGACAACTGTCAATGTTTTTGTCATGAACTACTGAGTGAAACAATGTCCATATACTGCGTCATAATTTTAGGCGCAGTTATAGTGATGGCATAAGTCTAGTCATTAGCGCGGAAACAGAGCTGTTAGTGTGTCGACGCTCTCGCCGCCGCCGATGCGCTCAGCCAACATTGGGAGTCTGGCAGCGGCGCGCCTCAGCAGCAGCTAGAGTGTCGCTCACACATATGTAGTTGCCAACATTTGGGCGCATTCAATTTGGTGTTGATGGTAGCTTCATTGGCGGTGGCTGCTACTAGTACATAAGCTAAGGTATTTGTATTTGTATATGTTGGCTTGTGGTATGCTAAGTACGCGCTTTAAGTAATTGAATACTTAAGTACTTTGTGTGTTCTTTGGCTTTAAGTTTTTTACGCTGCGCGCACAGTTTTTGCTTCCTCTACAACTTCTTTTTTAGACTTTAACATTTAGGTACGTAACTTTAAATTAAATTTAAAATAATTAATATTTTTTTTTCCTATACATTATTAAAATTATAAATATTTATATATAGTAAATTTATGTAGTAAGTAATGTATGTTTATTTTCTGCTGCCATAAGATGCTCGCATATCGTGTGTGAGTGTGTTTAAGTGTGAGGTGGTGGTGGAAGTACGACGGGCTTATGGCGCCTAAAACTATATATCTAACACTGCATCGTCCGGTGTGCCGCGATGGATCAACAGCTTGATGCGCTCATTGCGTGCAGTTATTTTTGAATGAAGATTCTTAACACGCTCCCGACATGCCTAAATACATATGCACCAAACACACACACATATATATATATGGGAGGAGACATATGGTGGAGACACATGGACGCGCACAATGAGCGAGCGAGTGAGACACGCACAGGCATACATACGAAGAGAGAGAGGAACGTGGAGGTGGTGGTGGAGATGAGTTTACACGCAGTAGCGCGTGAGTGAGACAGATTAACCCATTTACCATTTAGCAGAGGAAGAAGGCAATTATTTGTTTAGACAATAAGCATTTTTTAATGTTTTTAATTTTTTTTTTTTAATTATTTTTAGGTGTAGTGGCATGAGTTAAAAGCAATAAGCGTAGAGCAGTTATGGAATTAACATTTTAAATGTTTTTTTATTTGGTTTTGTTTTTATTGGATGACAATGAGTTAGTGAAAGCACGCAGTAGAGTCGGATAGCGGTAGGTGTGTGTAGCACCAAGCCGGTAAGCGTCAGTTAAGTATATGAATTAATGGTTAGTTTTAGAACAATATTTTCGATTCAATATTTGGCATTTTTGTGGGAATTTTTTTCAAAATTTGTTTAGCATTTTGTTAAAATTTTTATTAATAGCATTTAAAATATATTTGCGTGTGTGTGTGTGTGCATGTGTTTGTAAAAAATGTGTTAATTTTTTGTTAATTAGGTACCATTACCGTCGCAATTTTTGTTTACCATTTTTTTCGATCGTAGCAAATTTCAGTAAGCAACAACACCATTTGTTTTATATGTTTTTTACGTTTTATTTTTGTTGTTGTTTTTTTAGTTATATGTTTATGTACGTTTTAGATATGTATACGTTCCAAATGTAACATATTTTTTTTTTTTGTTTTGTTACAAAATGAGAATGTAAATAAAAGAAAAAAGAAATACGAAATGTCAAATAATGTCGAAAATTATAAACTAACCATTTTTTTATATGTATAAGAATAAAAATAGGCATAAATATGTAATAATTAAAGAAAACTATATGAAGCGTAAAAAAGAGACGAAGTTAAAATAATATGTGTGTATGAAAGAGAGAGAGAGAGAGAGCAAGTTTTTTCTCGTTTTCAACCAAACCCAATCGTGAGTGCAGATGAGTTATGCATAAGAAAACCCAAATTCTATAAAAATAATAATAAAGCTCTAAGGAACTACTACCGCTTATATTTATAATACAAAGTACCAGAAAAGAATTGTTATTTTTTTTTACTACGCAACCACTTTTAAAGTTCCAAGCACAAAAGTGAGGCAGGTATGTATGTGAAATGAATGAAAAATGTCTAAAAAAAAAGTAAATGGATAATTGAATAAGTGAATGTATGTATGTATGGCTCAATGAAAAATGTATGGGTGCGTGAAAAACTTGCAATACTGATGATGTCAAAACAATGTGTTTGTAGTAAATTATAGGTGCTTTAACGACAATATTTCAATCAGTGGCGGCCAAAAAGGGGCACGAGTGTAGGGCTTTTAAACACTTGTTCGGGCTTTTTTAAGCTTTTATACCTTTCTTATTTTTTCAGAACTTTTATGCGTTATGTGCGTAAGCATGCGCCACTTTCAAAAGCTCCTTCGAACTTTTTTCGAGCTTTTAAAAGCTCTTTCGAACTCGTTTGAGTTTCATTTCAGCTTTCTGTGCGCTAAGGGTAAAAGGCGCTTTCAGGGCATCACCAGTTTTAATCAATAAGATCTTTTATTATCTGCCTGTCTGTTTAAAATATATAAAAAACTCCAACAAAGCTCTGAACTCGTGCCGTTAAAGTGGCCAACACTGATCTAAACGCAAGAGAGTCTAAATAAATGAGCATCTTTAGTGCTTACCAATAGAAATTAGGGCTGTGCGATTAATTGATTACTCAAAATTTTAATTAATCATAAAGTAAATAACTCAATTATTCGATTAATTGGAAATTATGATTACTCAAAAGTTCAGTTACTCGAGTAATCAAGATTTTTGATTAACCATAAACAAAAATATTTGAGTAAAATGCTTTATGATGAATCAACATTTCGAGTAAAATGAGTAATCAACATTTCAACTCTTTACATATGTATAAAGTAGTTAAAGTTCCTTGATACTTTGAAAACAATGTTTCTGTTTTCAAAAATTAAAGCAAACAATTTTTTTCATGTACAGAATGTAAAAAAAAAATAAGCTTTTTCCAAAGCAAACTCTATTAACGAGCAAAATTATTTTTTTAGAGTAATCATATCTCAAGTAACTCAATTAATCATCGTTTTGAGTAATCAAAATTTTGATTACTCGAGTAATTGATTAACCGAATAATTGATTAACCAACTTGCTCGAGTAATCGAATAATCGCACAGCCCTAATAGAAATATTTAAACACGAAGTAGCAACAAAAAATTGTGTAGTTATACGTAGCTTTGAAAAATTATTTAAGCTTCGAAAAGCTTCTAAAAAATAATAAGTGCTTTTGATAATTTTATGAAAAAGTTATTCAGACTTTTAATTAGAAGCAGTTTTTTTTTCAATTTAGCTTAATTTAATTTACATTCCTGTCACATTTTTCATTTTTTAATCTTTCGGATTTTTTTTACACTATTATATAGTGATTCATATTTTTTTTAACTGTGCTCTGACGAGTAAAAATCCAAAAACAATAAACTAAAAAATTTTTAAATTTGACACACAACTAGTGCGTAAATAATTATTTTGCTATTCTTAATGCGCGCGACTTCAAGGTGAACACACACATTCTCACATATAAATATGTACATGTGTGTGCACATTCGATGTGTTACTGCGAGACAAGCGGCTAAAAATACGCGCTATGACGGCAGTCATGTAGGCATTTTCATCCGCTTAGCAAATTTTCGGTAAAATTTTCTTTAAATACACAAATTTTTACATACAAATATTTATGTATATATGTATGTTTGTATGTATTTGCTGCTCATCTACAAAAATTTTAAGCGAAATATATTGGTGCCACGTGTTTGCTACGTAATATTTATTTATATTTTTAGGTTCACGTGGTTCACATTTTATAATAAAATTTCCAAAAAAAATTGTAATATGTAAAAAATTTGCAATTGATTGCTTTGAAAATTGAAAAAACAACGTTTTCGCTTTGAATAAAAAACTTTATTTAAAATTTTTCTGTAAAACTTGGTTAATTTTTTTTGCAAAACTTTTTTTGTGCAAGAAATCAAAATTGTTTCTGGAAAATTTTTGAGGTTTTTCTTTAGTGTTTTTTTAATTATTCTGAAAAAGTTTTTAGATATTTCTCCAAATTTTTTTTTTAATTTTTCTGCGAAGTTTACTAAATAAAACATTTTTTCTACATTCTTTTATTTTTATTTTTTAATATTTTTGAAAATTTTATTTTCTTGTATAAAAATTAGCAAAATTGTTATGGCAAAAAATATATTTTAAGCCCTTTTATCTGCATGAGTTTTTGTCGTTTTCAGCATTGAAATTGCAGAAAATGCTTTGGCGAGCTTTTAAGTAGACTAGGTTTTTTGAAAAGTGCGGCAGTAGTTAAAGAGCTTTCTTAGGTGTAGCTTTTCTGAATGTATGGCTGTAAAAAAAACTCTGGCAGATTCTAAAAGAGACAAAGAAATTTTAAAGAGTAAAAACAGTTTCTAACACTTTACAACGGAAAGCTCAAAAAAGCTTCATAAAGTAAATTTTTAGAAAATTTAAATTTTAGTTTAGAAACATTGCTTTTACAAGTCTGAGAAAAGCCCATTACCTACTTACTGGTAGCAAAAAATTTACAATCTAAAAGCAGCGAAGGCTTTAAAAAAAGCTCGTCATAGTTTTCTACAATTTTCGCGTACCAAAACAAGACTGATGAATCAATGGAGAAGATGAATGTATGGACAAAATGATGTATGAACAAAATGTTGCTGCACGGTGTTAAAATACAAATGAATAGTGGCATGGCAACAAATACACTCAATCAGAAGAAACAAAAAAACCAAAAAAAAACAATGAATAATACATAAAATTACGCAGGAAATGATGAGCTGACTGACGTGCAGATGCAATCTGCTTATGATTTCAATGTGTGCAATAAATGTAAAAACTAAAGAAAAAAAATCAAATAATAAAAAACTGAAGATACTCAAAAACATTAAAATAAGCAAAAAATAACGAAATTTTAAAAAATTAAAAAAAAACAGTTTGAAAATATGTATTAAAGAAAATTGGAAAAAATAAAATTACACTAAATTATCAATTTAAAAAGATTAAAAAATTAAAAAAAAAAACAAAAAAATTAATAAACTTTAAAAAAGATCAAATAAGAAAATAAAAAATAAACCCTTTTTGTAACACCAAAATTATTTAAAATTGTTTTTGAAGTTAAAAAAAAATTTTAAATAAAAAAGAAAACTCGAAAAATTCTAAAAAATAAAATGCTAATCAAATAAAACAAATACAAACTCAAAACGAGGTATTTGTATACCACAAAAATATATATTGTTTTTATTGCCAATTTAAAAAAACTTCACAGCCACCGTGCAACTTGTTTAGCGTAGCAGAGCATTTTGCCACTCAGCGATTTCGTAGACAAAAAAAACAAATATAGAAAAATAAATAAATAAAAACTATTGAGCTTACTAAAGTAAAAAAAAAATAAAAATAAAAATTAATAAATAACAATGCTGCTAGAGGTTACTTAAAAAGAGAGGGTTCTTTGGGGTAGGGTTGAGGGGGTGCGTGTGTTAGTCAAATTACAAATTCTTTAACATTTGCTAACAAGAGTCGGTCGGTTATTGAAAATAAACAGCACCAAATGTTTTGCGATAATGAATTCAATGTCAATGAATAAACTGTGCTTTCTTTTCAACTTCTTCGAGGCTCTCAAACACTTATAAGAATGTGAAAGAGAAGTAAAGATAGAGAGAGCACAACAAATACCTAAATAAAAGGGGGATTTCTAAAAACCTTTCCTAAAGTTTTTTTTAAGCTGCCAACTCTCAGACAACAACTATTTGTGTGTCCTAATAACAGAAGAGCTTAACAACTCACTGCCTCACAGCTGCTAATAACTGCTTACATATATATATGAAATTTTATACTAAAATAACTGGTAATAAGTATTCGAAAATAACTATGTATGTATGCACTTAACTAACAACCTGCCTGTTACGTTTACATACCTGTTGCTCTGCTAATGCACGCTCACGATCGTGGGGCAGATACGTGGGCGCCATTACGAGCCGCAATTGTTGTTCCTCTTGTATGATCTTTTGACGCAATGTTTGCATCTGTTGCTGATAGATATCGATCTGATTGAGCGTCTCTTCGACACTAGTGGTTTTGGTGCGTACCAATTCCGCCAGTCCGTCCAAGATTTTCAATAGATCATCGACATTTTCGCTTAGGCGCGGATCGCCACCCATACCATTACGGAAGTGCACCTGCGGATAGTGTAACAGAAATAAGAGAGAGAAAAGGGGAGAGAAAGAGAGAGAAAGACAAAAAATACGCTTATTAATTTTTGTGATTCCTAGCTCTTAAGTTGAAAGTAAACTTCTACAGCAATTTTGAAGTTAGCGAAGACAATAAAAATCACGCAACACTCACCTCCAATTTTTCGATAGATAGGCGCAATTTGGTCTTCTGTACATTAATATCCGCCAGCGTTTTCTCGCAGTAGCCCAATTGATCGCGCAGCGGTTTCTTCTTGTGCTGTGGTGAACCCAATGCTTCCTTCGTTTTGTCTATCCAGCTGCGTATGTCCTTGATTTTGCGTTCACATTGATCCCATTCTTCGCAGGCTTCTTGTAGTAGGGAATTCTGTACATTTGGGAAAGGGGAAGGACAAAATCGGGATTATTTAAAAGTAAAGGTTTTTTGGTGCGAAACAAAACATTTTCCGAAACTCAAGTTTCGCGATCGTTGGAGGCGCGACTCGCAGCAGAAAGATAGCAAATTACCATTCAAAATTAAAAAAAAAATTATATATTTAAAATAAAAAGTTAGAAATGGCGCCATGTATTGTCACATAAACTTTGATTAGCAGGTTTTCATTCGGAATTTAATATAAATAATTTGTTTTTAAAATATTTATAATTTCTCTTGATTGTTTGATCTGATGTCATTATTTTTTGAAACCTCGATTATTTTTTATTTTTATAACACATAATCGATACCTAAAAATTTGTTCGATAAATTTTTATCGATAATTAAAATTTTTCGATTAAGGTTAATCAATATTTTACAATTTTTACAAACCTATACAAAGAATAATGTTAAAAAAAATAAGAAGCGATGTGTTGATATCAGCTGACGTCGGTATAGGGATTGAAAACATTTGAATTAAGAAAACAATTTGAGCAGGAAAGTGAAAAATTCGAACATTTGTAATTTATAATAAAAAAAAATTTTCGAGTTCAATGATTTTTCACTTTCAAGTTCTTTTCATCATATCTGATCGCGATTTTTTAGTTTATTTTCGAGGCATAATTTTTCGAAGGTTCGGTTGTATATTGGTTTTTAAAAATTTTTTTATTTATAGGAAAAAAGGTTTAAATGAAATTGCTTTTTTCGATCATATCTGGCGAATTCAGAATACATTGGTCGACAAACTTAAGCTATCGAATTATCGATCGATATATATGTATATTTGCTGAGTGGTTGAGATAATCGAAATAAACATTTAATATGGCCGATTTTTGAGTTCATTGTTTCTTTTAAAAAAATTTTCGTTACATACTCTTAAAAATTTAAATAATCGATAAAAAAATCGTAATTACCAAATTTATTTTTTATAAACTTTTTTGTTTGTGCGATCGTATGTTATCGATATTTCAGTCTATTATACTTTTGATCATATTTTACAATCCTGATCTGATGTATCGATATATCGGTTGGTAGTTGAATAAATTTGGATTAAAAATTTAATTCATGAGCATTGATCGAAAAATAAAAAGCCACGATATTTATCCATCAAAATAATGACCGGCAAGTAAAAGCATGTGAATTATATGCAACAAAAATTTTAAAATTTGCAACTAAAAAACAAAAAATCATAATGCATTTATTTTATCTTTTTCCTTTGTATGTTACCAATTTTTTAATCAATCAAAGATTTGCTATCGAAGCAAATTAAAAAAAAAATTATTTCAAAACAGAAATAAAATTTAAAATATTTTTTGATGAGCGATTAGTTTTTTTGTGAAATTTGTATCTTCTTTGTGACTTTTCGACATATCTGATATTTTTCAGACTAATATTTTTTTTATTAAATTTTATCGAAGTACTATTTAATGTCATGAATTATCAGCAAAAAATAGCGCTATTTCTAAAATTTTATTTCACGATACAAAAAAGGTCAAATATGACGTTAAATATAAAAATCTAAAAAAATGTATAAAAAGTTATTAAAAATGTGGGAACACAGTGTTTGTACTGATCAAAAATTAAAAAGATTACAAAAAATTTTTAAGCTCCGCTTGCATTAGTGTTATGATTTTTATAAAACTTTTTTAATTATGTGACAACGTTTTTGTTCCTTAATTTTTTAATATGACTTGATTGGTTTGTTGTTGTCTTTTTTTTTGGAGGCAAACAAAAGTTCCAAACTACAGTTGGTGATACAAAAAATTAACCTCACCAAAAACGGAAAAATTGATACATGATGATAAAAATTTTTACTCGAAGAGATAAAACCATTGTTAACTTTCTATACCCGCTAAATGCTGCGTGTCTTACTGGCATACTTACAAATGCCGACCGAACTATACCTTTCCAATCTTCAAAAAACAACCTTCCACGCAACCACGCGAAGTTGTCTTCTTCTACCCCTTTTTCTGTTACTTCATTTTCTTTATCTTCTTCCCTTTAATTTACTTCTGCTTCTTCTAATAGCACTACTATTCTTCCTCTACCACCTACCCTTTCCAGCAGCACCGCTTCCACGGAAACCTTGGCATCCTCAGCCTCTTGCAATTTATCCTTGAGATCACCCACAGTTGTCACTTGTCCAATATGTTCCAATTCCTTATCCATTTCGCTCAAATGCTTCACAATCGGTTTAATACTCTTCACAGCCGCTGCATAGTCATTGAGTTTGTTACGCGCCTCGGACAGTGTACGCAATTCGATTGTCTGATCGAGGAAGGTGCGCTTCTCGACCACCCACGCCATCACAATTTGATACAAATTCATAAATCTCGTCCATGCATCCAAACTATCACCGACTTGTTGTTTCTTCTCATCCAACCATGAGCGTACTTGTCCCAATTCTTGCGCCAACTGATCGATCGTCGATTGTACGAGCAGTTTCTCATTACTATTCCGACAATTATCGATAATCAGTTGTCCATTTGTCTTAACCATTGTGAAACGCTCATAAATGCCGGTGATTTCCTGATTGATGCGATGCAACAATTCCTTCATTTGCGCTGGCGCGAGTGTACGATCTTGCACTTGCACTTCCGCTTGACGCAGCCATCTTTGGATTTCATCTACGCCACTCAGATATTCGGTGCGTACAGTCTTGGCTCGCTTGAATTCCTTTTGTTTCGTTTCCATGGCGCCCTGTACACGCTCGGAGAGCAACTCTAATGCTGTAAACTCCTGTGCGATATCACTTGGTACCAAATTTTGTTTGCTCAGATAGTGTTCCTTGGTGTTGGCGATCAGTTGGGTGCTTGCCTCAACTGTCTTACCAACTTGTTGTTGCAAATTGTTGAGCGACTTTTCAATGGCTTCGATATGTTCGTCGAAGGCGTGTACTTCTTGTATCTGCTCGAGTAGAGCGTTGAATTTATCTTGCAGCTCCGAGATGCTATGGAAGACCTGTTCGATCTCCTCGAGATCCTTGCCAACCTGACGATCCTTTTCGCGTAGGGTGTCGTTTAATCTGCAAAAAACCGAGAGAGAGGAAAAAAGGGAGAGACAAATGGTGGATATATTAGAAAGATTTGAAGAAAGTTTGAGTGATTTAAGGGCTTATTTGATATATGTAAATGCCGTCGTTGAAACACGCAAAATTTATGTGCAAAGACCACGCGGTCAGCCACTCGGAAATTGCGTTACAATTTTAACACAAAACACTTGGGATTTTCTTGTGCTGCTTTTAACAACGAAAATTTATAGTTCAAAAAATGCTAAGATTTGCGTTTTTCTGCCTTAACAGAAAAAAACGTGCACGTATTTTTAAACAATTGCGACAATCCAACGTTTGAGAAAAAAGTTTATTCTTTTTTTTTGCTTATGTCTTGTAGTTTTTGGGATTAAAAAATGCGTCAAAGGTTTCCGTGGAAGAAATGCGACCGCGCTAGTAAAAGAGAACTCTCCAAATTAACTAGGCAAAAGGCAACCGCTTGGCAAAGGCAGCCACATCTGCCGACAAAACGTACATACATACATATGTACGTCCACTACTCTGCACTGTAGAAAAACGCCAACAGATTCGAAAACGTTTTCGAAAATGGTCGCAACAGAATTATATGCGGAGAGTGCGGTTTGTATGGCTGAGTGGAGGCTGTCGGTTGCTCATTTGCTCGCCACAAAATTAATGAGCGCTTTTGCCCAGATGGCTGCTGCCAGAAAGGAAAACCTTGAAGTCGAAATAGGCTATTTAGCGGCGAGATTTCATTGATCTCACTTACATATTTACATATTTACGTATGTATGTAGATGCGCTTTTAATATTGTGGAAATCTTCAGAGGCGCAGTACAATCACATCTCCGTGCGTTCGCCCATATTTGTGAAAGAAAATTTAATTACATTGTAGCAAAAGTAGCAAATCAGGGAAAATAAACAAATAAATGAGTAAATAACAAAAGCATGAGCCAACGCTTGCAGAGGGAGACTGTAAAGAGGCTGAATGGGAGAGAGTAATAAAAACTGTTTTGCGATCGTGATAATGCCGGTTTTTGGCTTTTTGCGCTGTCTGACTTATTGTTGTTTTTTTTTTGCGGCGCCAGGAAAGCAGTTGATTTCCAATGCCGCATACAAACAAATATAAGATAATATACCAACCGGCAAAATCGGATAAAACGAAGCCTTCAACAAGAAAAAATTTTACTTAAGGTGGCACATCGCCGCAACCGGTTTGTGTCCGAATCAAACTTAACAAACAATAACGAAAGTTGGTTCCAAAATACACTTTTAGAAGCTTTTATTGCTGATCTTTTGAGAATTCGATTAATTATTCGATAAATTCTTCTGATTAATTCCTCTTAGAAGAAAAAAATAATGAAGGAGACCAAATATGATTTGCTGCTAACATGCTCTAACTTTCGTTCCTTCACAGGCCCATCTTCTTGCCTGCCTTCGAATGGAAGATCTTTTAATACAACTCCAATGAAAATATGTTACTGACAAAAGCTCTTCCTGAAAGTCAGTAACGGACAAAATCATATTTACAAAATGCTAAGTTCTTAGTACTAAAGTAAAATATTCCCAAAACCCCCAAAACGTCCCGTAAAATTTAGAAAAATTCCGAAAAAAATACCTAAAGGTACCGAAAAATATTATACAGAAAAAAAAAGTGAAACCGGGAATTCCGAAAAGAACAAAAAAAACAAACGTGGCGAATGTTTCGAAAAAATATTATCGACTCAAGTTTTAAAAATATTATCGATTACCTTTTCTTTTTCTGAACCGTTTAGTATTGAAAAATTTACTAAATACCATAGTACTTTAGAATTCAGTAGGTTCTACAATTCACTGCCTGATTTACTATTTTTCCACTCTAAATACTTCAATTCTATTTACTTACGTATTTAGTAACTCCTAAATACCTATGGGTTTTTTCACTATTTACTACTTAGGCATCTCTCTTCTATCCGTGTTGTTCCGAAGGGATACTTATGTATGTATGCATACATTTTTATATACATACTAGCAATTACCCGGCGTGCTTCGCTGCGCCTTAAATGTATTTTTGTGTTGTAACTCTCCCCCTAAGCTCTTATGGCCTCATTTACAAAATATTTTTAAAGAACTTTATGAAGTTAGATTAAAAAAAATCGATCTATGAAGCATTGTTTATTTTTTTTTTGAGTTAATATATTTTCGAAGGTAATTAGAAAATATGTAAAGAACCGACTTTCTCTTGGAAATTTAATTTATAATCTTATAACTGGAGTCTACTATCGCACCCTTTCCTCAAACGTGTATTGATTCAATATTCAAATAACGTATATTTATATAATTTGAAAAAATCTCCCTACTATACAAATATGTACAGCACTATTAACTAATATTTTCAAATGTTGTGAGAGGGAGTAACAAAACAAAATTACTTTTAAGGCGCAGCGAAGCACGCCGGGTATTCGCTAGTGTCACATGAAATTAACTGAGCAAAGTACAATGAATAGCTGTTAAACAATGTTTCACGCACCGGCACCATCTACTTTAAATGAAACATACTTATTTTCGTGAGGGATACTCACACACCATATACTTTTCTATTGAAATTTTTCCTGAATTTTCTTAGCTATAAACCTCCAACGAATGCAAAACCGTGGAAATCGGTTCGTGCGTTCTGGAGTTATAGCGTCAGGAAGGAAAACCCTACTTATTTTTATATTAATTTTTATATTAAAAAAGATTAAAGAACTGTCCGCATTACACAATTTTATTTTTCACAAAAACGGTATTCATGAATTTTTTTTTTTTTTTTTATTTGCTTCCGCATATTTTTGACATAACAGCTTTCATTTTATGCCCATATTAAACAAATACAGAGAAAGTTTACCCGGGTCCACGTTTTGGTCTGTATCTCGAGACCCTAGTCACCCAGCTATATGAAAAGTGCTCAATCTTAAAGCATTCATGAACAGCTTTCATTTGATACCCATATTGAACAAATACACCCAAGGTTACCCAGGTCCACGTTTTGGTCTATATCTCGAGACCAAAGTCATTTTTTAAAAATTTTCTTTGCTACAAACCTCACGGAGCCCGAGCCCTTTCCAACGAATGCAAAACCGTGGGAATCGGTTCGGCGGTTCTTGAGTTATAAGATTACCAAGGAAATGTAACTTCTTTTTATATATATAGATATATGCAGTAATTGTTGACTTTAAATCGAATGCCCGATTTTTGCAGCTGTCACGTATATTTATATGAAAAATTTGAAAATATTAATTTGAACAAATGGGGAATTATAAAAAAAAAAAATAAAACAGCGAGGAAAATAATTTCCGGTGATTAATGACAAGAATTTCAAATATTTTTTATATTTTTTACTCTTTTATTTTTATTTATTCTCTACTTTTCGTAAATTTTTTTAATATTTTTTCATTATTTTTTCTTTCCCTAACTTTTTCCGGTAGCTTTTCATAGATCTTTTTCTTTCTTAAAGAAGAATTTTTTTTCTAAATTTGTTGTTTTTATTATTTTTTTTCCTAAAATTTTAAATTTTATTTATTGCTTTCGCCTTCTACTTATCGTTTTTACTCGATTTCATGAAATTTTTTTGCATTGTTATGTTCATTAGTTATTATTTGTCAGAATTTTTTGCTTCCATCTTTTTGTTATTATTCTTTTTTCCTAAATTTTAAGAATTCCTCTCAACACCCTCCGTTTTGTTTCATACTTTTTTCCCCCTTTCATGAAAATTGGTACATGTTGCTATGTTAACGCGAATTGCTTTTGTTTGCAGATTATTTGTTGTGATTCCTCATTCCTTTGTTATTTATTTATTTATTTCTTTTATTTTTTTTTATTTTAAGTTTTATTTTTAAATTTTCACCCACTTCTGCTGCTTGGCAGACAAGTTGACGTCATCAGCGCGCACCACACCCAGGTCACTCATACGCCAAGTAGTACACACAGGTATGTTGAAATATACATACATATGAATGTATGTACATATTTATGTATATACAAAATTTAAGCATATATAACAGATGCAAGGAAAGTGCA